TTGACTAGTCATTTCTTCGGTAGGGTCATTTCATCGTCATGTGTAATTTTGAAACTATTTTTAGTGTTTGTTAGGTTGCGCGTTAATTGTTTTTCTTCGTAATTTAATGCATTTTTGCATGTCGAAATTTTTAAAACTTAGTCTAAAGCGAAATCAGTATCATATGTTGCAATTGCCCGAGAAGAAACATTTAAAAAAAATTAAATTGCCAACTATTTTTGTTGTATATCACATTGCAGAAATGAAACCCTTGCACATTTGGATTTCAAGTTGCATTTTAAAAATATTTATTTCTGAGTTTGATTGTTTAGATTTAATTTTTGCACCATATTTTTATAGATTGGCATGATAAAGGCAATTTTAGTAACGACTTTGGTTGATTCTTGATATAGCAAGTAAAGAAAGATATAAACAAAGTCGCTGAATTAATGAATCAACGAAACATTCAATCCGATATCATTGGATACTGAAATAACTTTAGAACTGAAAATTGTATTTTTAATTTTTTATTTCTTTCATACATCGACAGTAAGTTGGGGAGCGTTTAACGGAGACCGGAGTATGTATCAACTTCAGCTTCTTTTTTTTAACACTTCAAATTATAATGAAGCAAAGCTCATATATGAGCTAGGGAGATCATTACGAAGCATAATGAGTCACTTTGACAACGAGGTCGTTTGGTCAAAATTTCATTTCGTCTACTGGACACTTCGTCGACTATGCCGTTTCTTGGACAAATCATTTCGCCCACATGTCGTCTAATCAATTGGGTTGAAGGAAGAAAAAAGGAAATATGGATGAAACATTGGATCTGTGTAAACATTAAGCAAGTGATTCAATTTACTAATAAGTAAAAATAAAAGTTTTGCAAAATCTTTAATTTTTTGCAGATCAGTAGGAGATTATAACTATTTTACTATTTAGTTTTGTCAACCTATCAGTTAATGCATTGATTAGAACCTGGGTACCTTATTTCATTTTATATATTATGTTATTACATAATTTTTTAGAATTTCGATTTCCTTGAGATCTCTTGATAGATTTAAACTGTAAATATGACAGAAACTAAAGCATTCATGAAATCACGATTTAAAAAAACATTTCATAAGTGAACAATGCTTTTCATTTTTTAAATATGTTGCTAAATTTATCAGTATGAAACCTTTTGTTATCAGTATGAAATCTTTTGTTATCAGTATGAAATTCCCACTCACCCCAATAAAAAAAACAGTCTTCTATTTGTCACTTAAGTATATTTTAATCACTTTTAATTCTCGCGATATCTTATTTGATTTGATTCTAAATATCATTTGATTGTCAACGTCACACTAGAGCCACAATAAGTTGTTGACCGCGGTCAAAGAATCATGCTTAGGACTGGTGTGAGGACAATCCATGCTCTATTGCAATTTCAATATTAAAAAAGCAAATGTTGGAACATTAACCGATCTCGGTAAAACTCTCCCCAATTAACTGTCAATTTATTTGGAAAAAAAAACGAATTTAAAAAGCGATTTTTAGTTTGAAAATTACTTCAAAATCAAGTAGTATCGGATATAATATTTCGTTAAAAAGAAAAATTACCGAAAAAGGAAAAGGCAAAATAAATAAAGTTTAAAAATCATTAAATCATACTCTCCAGAATTTAATCAAGATTGCAGTTAACAGTCTTAAAATGTGAACCGTCAGAGAAAAAAGACTTGTTTTCATAAAGGGGTGAGCTTTATTATTGCGAACGATTTACTTAATTTTAAAAAAAAAACTTTTTGCGCACGGAACCTTTCCTGGAAATATCATTTTTAAGAATTTATTCAAACTGTGTTTCGTACTTTTTAAAATAGTGGTATAGCCTCGATCTGTTCTTGAGATCAGGAGGTACCCTTCCCCTCCCCCATCTCATATGTAAAAAAGAAGAAAAAAAAAATTTTTTTTTTTAAATTTAAACTAATTAATTTATTGTAACAAATTCACTAAATTTTTGTATCCTGCGTATATTTTACTTCATAAAAAAATAATCGATTTTCCTTCTATGTTTTCCTTTACTTTAATTAATGTAAAATTAGATAGTCAAAAAGATCGGGGAATGATTTATTTTAACCTCATCTTGTTTCGAGCGGAACCATTCAAAAAGGAACGAAACGTTGATTTACAATGATTTTAATTAATCGTGAAAAGAGCTACCATGTTTGAAAATTAAATTTATTGTAAAAAAATTAGTTAAATAGGAAAAGAAAAACAAACTTAAGAATTCAGGAACGAACTTAATAAGGCAGGATGTGTGCGCCATTGTTCGATTTTCTAATTATACATATATTATACATTGTTAAAAAAAAAATTTTTTTGAAGATAAAGTGCCTTGACCCGACACTCTAATATTTTTCCTAATCTGGTGATATTATAATAATAACTGAATAAAAATTAGATTTTTTGTTTTGATCGTCATCTTTGTTTTTTTTTTTTCATTGCAAAAGCACTTGACTTTACATCATTGGCCCCCATGCATCGAAGATGCATGAGATTGGAGCATATAAAACAAAAACTGAACCATTGAACATTGCAAGAACAATATAATAGCAAGAACAATAAATACTTGCAAAACGTGAACCACTTAAACATGAACGAGAATCAGGCGCTGGATACCAATTGCGTCAACTCCCTAGCTCGCCAATATCGACTGAATAAATCCTCTTCATTTAATGTAAGAACAACTGAGCAAATGATCTTTGTCCATCTCAAAGTTCTGGTTGCACAAAGTGCACATAGAATGCCAAATATACCAATTCTGTATAGATATTTAGCAAGGCAGTCATGTCCAGTCTCCAGACGGAACGCCGCCACTGCAGTGGATCTAGGGGAGTTTGGAATTTTATATCTGGAATTTCTTTGACTATATCTGGGAGGACATTGATGTAAACATTAAAAAGACTTGTACTTGTCACACCTCCCTGCTGTAGACCACAATGGATTTGTTTGTAACCTGAGATTTCCGTTCCGTAGCGAACTGCACAAAATCTTTGAGAAATATTATTTTTAATCCATTGGAACATTTTGTCACCGACTCCAAGGGTTTTTAACTTATAAAGCAATTTATTCCTCCAAATGCGATCGTATGCAGCTTTAAAGTCGACAAAAACTGCCACTGAAGTCTCGCTTCGATCCAAACTATCCTTGATTGCTTGTGATAGTCTTGTAACTTGTTGATTAGTTTACTGATGTATTCGAAACCCACTCTGGGTATCTGTTAAAAGATCATGATGTTCTAAGTAGAAAACCAGTCTCTCGTTAACCATTCTCTCCGTTATCTTGGCTATAATAGAGTTTAGTGATATTGGTCTATAACTCTCTGGACAATAAAGCGGTTTACCTTCCTTAGCTATTGGGATAATAATAGATTTTCGCCAAGCAGCTGGAACATGAGAATTCCAGGAAAAGTTGAAAAATGTCAAAAGGGTATTTAAGGCCTCTGTACCCAAATGTTTAATAAATTCTGCATGAATGTTGTCAGGGCCAGGGCTTTTTCGGACTTTTTGCCTCTAGATAGCGTAATTCATTTCACGAATAGAAAATTCCATGCAAAAAATATCTTCACTAACTGAACTTATACGGCTGATTAATCTCTTCAAAGTTCCCTCACTTCTTTTCATCTCTATAGTTCTTTTTTGTTTGTTTGCATAAAATTTAGTAAAGGCTTCAGCAATCTTTTTATCGGTTGTCATTTGTCTACTACCAAATAAAATTGGTTCTTTTCTTCGCTCTTGGTACTTATTCGTTAGATTTGACATAAATTTGTAAAGTTTTTGACCATCTTTTTTATAGTCGATAGTGGTAATAAAATCACTCCATGCACTTTGTTTCGATTCATTGATCTTCGACTTGAAATCTCTCGCCAAATCGCTCTCCAAGTGCCGATATCCTCCGCTGTACCTGTTGTTTCAGCAAGGGTTCTTGCTTGATCTCGTTTCTTTTTCAAATTTCCAAATTGCTCATTCCAAAATGGTCTGTACCTGTCCGATTTTGTACGTGGAATAGTTTTATGTGCTGTCTCTAAGATTAAATTACAAATTTTTTGATTTTCTTTATGCAGCGAAATGCTGTCTTTAAAGATATCGTCCTTTTTAAGCTTGTTCTCCAAAATATTCCGGAACTCCAGCCAATTTGCCTTTTTAAAATTCCAAGAAAGCCTAGCTTTCTTAAAGTACTTATTTTTATGTACCTGGAGGGTAGTCAGTATAACTCGATGTCCAAAATCCGGATCCTCCAGTACATCTCTTTGAATCCATTGGGCAATATAAGAGGATACTAAGACTACATCTGGGTTTGATAAAGTTCCATTATAGTGCATATATGAAGGACAATCAGTGCCTTGATACACAAGTTCGATTTGATGAGTGTCTATAAAACTCTCTAGTTCTTTACCAGCAAAATTCTCATCTCTATACCCTACTAAGTGTGTGTGGGCGTTAAAATCACCCATAATGTTTGTCCTTTTTGAAATATTTAAAACATCGAAATTTGGTTTATTGCCTGGTGGGCTATTAGTGAATAAATTTTAAAATAATTTTCGTTTTTCCAACAATCTATTTTTACAATTTCAGTCCTATCTTGCGTGTTTCCCATTTGTTTTAAGACAGTAAAATTCGATGTTATTGTGGACTTGATTCCCACCAGGATTCCACTTGCAACTTGTCTACTCTTTTCCAGACAAAATAGATTATATCCCTTAAACTTAAGTTTTTGCAAAGTTTCGTTAGTGACATTAGCCTCTACTAGGGAGAAGATATCGACATTCCTATCGCGACAAATAGTCTCAAGTTCAACCTTCTTTGCCTGTGACAACCCACCTGAATTCCAGTGTAAAACACATAACGTCTCCATAAAAATCAAGCAACCCTTTTTATTCTTATCATCTGAAATGAGACAAAATTTTCATAACCACTTTTAAACTGCGAATGCCTCATGATTAATTTGTTTGATATTTATAGAAAATATCTTCATTTTAGGCTTCGAAAAGTGAAGTTGGAACAGAGGAAACTAATGGATAACGCCAATACCATATCAGACATGGCAAAAGTGAGTAAATGAATCTTTAACATTCAGTTTTTAATTAATGGCACAAAAAAAAGAAAAGATCTTCAAGCAGTTTCAAGACAAACATGAACGATGATTAGTCTAGAAACTACTAAACTCTTTGTATATAAAGTAGACGTCTCAAGGCTTCACGATTTACCCACTCTCCTCATCTTTTCCCCTTTCGTTCACATCATTAATTAAAAGGCAAAATTTTTGTTGCGTCAGTATACATAACTGTTGAAAATTACGGTTAGGTCATGGATAGCCGAATTGACTTCTTTGGATTTGTTCTTATATTTGTCGTTGGAATTTGTTCCCTTGTCGTCTGAGTTGTATTCGAAAATAAAAGCACAGCACTGCTTTTGAATTTTTATTGGGTTTTAACTCAAAACTAACTTTTTCCAATCCAACAAAATAAAATGTTTTCACAAAGGAAAGCTTAACTATGTCTGTTTTTTTGACAGGTAACGAGAAATTTCAGTGTCGACAAAATGAAAGTATTATTATTGATAATCGATATTCTACTAATTAAGTGCATCAGTAGTTCTGTTCTCTATTTCATTATCTGTATTAGTGCTGTTTATGTATGACTGTTTACTGTTGTGATTATATACTGTTTACGTATCAGTACTATTTGTGGATTATAATCGTCAAAATCATGAGTACATAAATTATTTCAGGCTTATTTTTGTCTTTTTTAGACCTCCAACAGCATTTATGAGGTTGTAAGTGACCTAAGTCAGCGCCAACTTTCTCTGGAGGATCGTCTTCAGAGTGCAACGGAACGCATCATAGCCATTCAGGAGACGCTGGATACTCTTCCAGACCTCATCATGTGCAGAATCCAGGCAATTCGAAAACCGAGTTATCATCATCCAGGCACGGGTCCTTCCTGGGCAAGCATATCATCTGTCAATTTGCCAACACCACAGAGGCGAACCAGCACCTTAGGATTGCCAACCAATGTTCCGCGATCAGGTTCTGCGAACAATTAAGAGAATCGAATACTATAACAACGAGTATATGTTGGTGTTCCTTTTTTGTTTCATCAACTTTGAATATTTTGTTTTGAATTCATTTTTTTCTTCTTCAAAGAATGCCATTTTTTTAAAATCGAGACTAAAAAATAAGAGCATTTCATTTGTTACATATGGAACATTTTAAAACCAGATCAGTCCGATTTCAGGATTATTAAGAGGCCGTCCGCAAGTTATGTGAGGCTGAAAGGTGAGGGAAAGATTTATGATAAGAGAAAGAGTTTAAAGAGAGAAAGTTTAGAGTTGGATTAAAATAAAAAAAATATTTAATTAAAATTTAATAAAAAATATTTAATAAATATTAAATATTAAAAATATTCAATTTAAATATTTTTACATACATTTTTTTAAATATTTTTTTTTCATTTTGCATTTGTTTTAAAATGATGACAATTCTGTTTTCTTCCTAGGATTTTGTTTCGTTGTCTCGTTGGGTTTTTTTTTCTTTTTTTTATCGAAAACATCTGATGCTGATTAAGGTTTAAATTAGTCCTAGTTAATAGTTTAAAACTAAAAGGAAATTTCAAGTATTTTTGCTTTTAAGAAAATGTCGGGTAGATCAATTTCCTAAAATTTGAACAGTTTAAAGAGAAAGTCTTAACGAAATAATGCAAATTTTATTTAGAACTCCAACATAATACTGTTTTCAATTGCCCTTTTATAATAATATTTTATTACTGTTTTTTATTGTAAATCTTTTTCTTACTTCTTACAAAATAAGTAAACATTAATGCACGTATTTTGATTGCATTTATTTTAATTATAAGTCATTGTTATTGTTATGGTCCATTAAAACATTTGGTTAAAGTTTAAAAATAAAATCTGAGATATAATCTAGTTGGAGAGAGGTGGACATGGGGCTAAAGCGAATAACGTTTTTTATTGATTGGTCTCTTTGAGATCTCGTAAATTCACAACAACACTTCCGTGTGTAGATCCCTCTGGGAATATAGACTTTTAAAGGGCAAAAATAACTTTTCTTTACTCTCTTTACTTAGTACTTTTATTAGCGTATTTTATTTTACGAATTTCAACTGAAGGTGATAACGTACAATAAATGATACAGTGTTGTACCTATTTTAATATTAACTTTTGATCTCTATAGTGTCAATTAATCAGTGTAATGCATGAAAAAAAAAAGAATGTCTTCGTTGGGCTAATGTAGGCACACGGAATAGTGCGGACGTGGTTTATGTGGATTTTTTCGTTTCAAAGTTTTCAATATTATTTTCCTTTTTTTTAACCTCAACGATATGAGATCGATATGTATAAATTTAAACTTCTTGACTACATTGACTCAATAAGAATTAACGACTAGTGAAGATTTTTTTTAGTAAAATAAAAAAAAACAGTGTTATGTTAGTGGAATGGAAGATGTTTATAGATTTGGAGATTATGACGTTCATATATAAAAACGTTGGTTCTTCTCTAGAACAAATTGTTGCCAAACTTCCGTTGCCAATGAATTGCATATCAATACGCATGCGTTTTATTGCTTTGATAAAATAAAAAAAATTCCAAACTTCTATAAAGTAAACCAAACTGAGTAATGGTTTTCAAATGTATTTGATTTGTATACAAAATGTCTTTCTTGGTATAGTGAAATGCTTTACACATTAGTATTTTAATTAATAAGTGTCAAAATTTATTCTTCAATAAGGCTTAGATTCTTATATAATTTCATTTTAGCATTAGATACACTTTTTTGAATTATATTTAATGTCGACCTAACAAATTATCAAGTTTGTCCACACTACAGCCCCGTTGTAGCAAGCCTTTTTTTAAAAAAGAATTGTATCAAAAACTAAAGAAATTTTTACATCCAGATTTAAACTAGAATGCAGTAAAACGTCCGTAAAAAAAATTCATCAGATACACTTTTTTGAATTATATTTAATGTCGACCTAAGAAATTATCAAGTTTGTCCACACTACAGCCCCGTTGTAGCAAGCCTTTTTTTAAAAAAGAATTGTATCAAAAACTAAAGAAATTTTTACATCCAGATTTAAACTAGAATGCAGTAAAACGTCCGTAAAAAAAATTCATCAGATACACTTTTTTGAATTATATTTAATGTCGACCTAAGAAATTATCAAGTTTGTCCACACTACAGCCCCGTTGTAGCAAGCCTTTTTTTAAAAAAGAATTGTATCAAAAACTAAAGAAATTTTTACATCCAGATTTAAACTAGAATGCAGTAAAACGTCCGTAAAAAAAATTCATCAGATACACTTTTTTGAATTATATTTAATGTCGACCTAAGAAATTATCAAGTTTGTCCACACTACAGCCCCGTTGTAGCAAGCCTTTTTTTAAAAAAGAATTGTATCAAAAACTAAAGAAATTTTTACATCCAGATTTAAACTAGAATGCAGTAAAACGTCCGTAAAAAAAATTCATCACGAATAAAAAATTATATTCAATAATGTTTTTTTGATAAATTTGTCCACACTAACCTCTCCTATAACGTTATATCTGAACTTAAAATATGATATGTTTGTTTAATATAGTATGACAAAGGGGTAAGTTGAAGTGTTGTAATGAAGGGGGGTAAAAAAGTCAAAATATGGAAAAAGTTCTTTTATGGACAGCTTCTAAAAAACATCATTTCATAAAACAATTTTCGACATGGATTCCTTTCACCCCTTTTTTAATATTGTGAATAGAATAGGCGTCTCTTCCCCCCTCTCCGTTACCATGGTTGCGGGAAATCTTGCTTTCGCCCTATGCCAATAAGCTTTAGTAATGTATAGTGGCGTGAGGAAAAAACAAGATCGGCAGAACTATGATAACGGAAAAGGGGAAAGAGTAAAAATCGCATAACTTTGAGATTCTATTAATAAAAAGTATAATACAGCCCTTAGTTTTTATGAAAACTAAAAAAAAATCCAAAATTTTTTTTTGTTTATATTGTTATTTTGTTATATTATTGATATTGTATGAAACATTTATGTAGAATTGAAAAATAATGCATTATCTTTAATGGTTTGTGGTTTATTTTAAATTAAGATATTCAACTTGTTTTCAATATTTTTGCAATAAGAATTTTTTAAAAATTTAAATTACGTACTTAAAAAATGTTTAAATTACATCATTTTTAGAATACTTTTCTCATAATATTTTTTTTCTTCGAATTATTATAAAACGAAATCTTAAAATGTTTTCCAGATTTCCTAAACTATTTGAATTTAACTAAATATGTAACTAAAATATGTGCATTCTAAACTTTATACTTTTTTTAGTTAAGATATGCGTTTTAAAAGTTAAATTAAAGCATTTATATGGGGATATGGGAACGAAAACAAGTCTTATAATCTCGCATTCAAATTAAAATAAAAATATAATTTTTCTCTTTATTTGAAATAAAGTAATTGTATTATTTTTTACTTAATAAAAAAGAAACATAAACTTTCAACGATTTTCATGCCTCGTGTTTTTCTTCTTTGGTTGACCTGTGTTTTTTTCAAAAAATAAGAGTTGTACCTTCGACCATTTCAATTTTTTATTATTTTATGCACAATTCAATAATTCAAATAATTTTGAAGTTAAAATTGTTACATCATATGTTTGTGTATTAATTTTGTTAACAAATTTTCATCTAAAGTAATGAAAATTGGTCTAAGGTACAACATAGTGAACTATTTAATGTTCTGTCTTGCTAAATTCTTTTTGACAATAAAAGTTAATTGAAGATACTAATGAAGCTGATTGGTATGTAATTTATACAATAATAATTTCTGAAAGTTACTAGCCGCGCTCTGTACTCAATTATGTATCATATGCTTTGAAAATACACTGCTTATTCATATTCTTCTCAAAGCGTTGAATTTATTATTATTTTAAAAAAATAAAATTAAAAAAAGCGAAAATTTTCTAAGGACAGTTTGGAAAAACAATGATATGAGATTTTAGGAAGTGTTAACTATTTCAAATTATTTAATTCTATAAATATTAGACATTTTTACTATGTAAATATCACAATAATCGATATTTTAAAGGTTTTTAGAAATATTTGAATCAATGAATTTATCGATTAACAAGTAAATAATTTTTCAAGTCAGAAAAAGAAAACAGTAATGACTTTGATTATTCGCTAGGTAAATACTTTTCAAGATTTTAATAGTAGCTCATGTTTTTTATATTTTGAAACACATATAAATAAAAAAAAATTGTTCATCATGTATTTGAATTCTTCGAATGGACATTGAATTTGAGACCTTCAGACAAAAAGATATTTTATTAGGGAAAAAAGAAAAATGTAAAAAAAAAGGCATCTTTCAGGTTATTCATATTCTTAAAGTTGATACTAAAAAAAATTGTTTTGTTCCAGTGGCATATTGCAAGAAAGTAAAAATACTAATTAGAAAAACAAAAATTTCGTCGCAGCTTTCGTTTCAAATATATTAGCCGAAAGGTAATGCATTAGCAAAAGGTTTAAATTTATTTATAGAAATTCTTCTTTAACACGTTTTGACGTGCCAAAATCAGATGTTAGTATCTTTGTAAATGAAGCAACGAAAATTCAAATACATACAAAATTTGAAAGAAATTAGCCAAATAATTTGTTGAATATTAAAACTTCAAAAATATCTGTACTTTCAAGTTGTTCTGAACACTGATTCTGTTCAAAATTTAGATTTTATTGTTTAAAATTTCATAGTTTAAAATTCAACATACAACTATGAATACAATTCATTGTTTTACAATTTCAAAGCTTTAACTGTTTCAACACTAATTGAATTTAAATATGATTGAATATTAAGAAACTAGTGGCCTGCGCCCCTTGCTCGCTAACGCTCGCCTACCCCCGAAAATTGCTACGCAATCTTAAATGGTTTGCTTCGCAAACCAAGGTCGCTTCGCTCGCTACTAACTTAGGTACATTGCAAATGCACAAAATTCTAAGAATTCAAAACAATCATTCAAATCCTTGTAAAAAAATTACATCTTTTTAGTAAATACTAAGTCATTAAAATAAATTTGAATTCAAATAAATGACATGTAATTCGTTAAACCTATTAGAAATGTGCTATAGTATAAAATCTTAAGATAAAATTTCTAAAACTGATATCTCTTTAAAAAGGTTAAAATTTTGGCTATAATTAAGTCTATTAAAAATTGAAATAAGTGAATTGCAATGGAAAAACCTGCATAAACAAATAAATTCTAGTAAAACAAATAAATTCGTGATATAAATCAAAAATCGTCAAATAAATTCGTAATATATAAATTCGTGAAAAAAAGCGCTTTCGACAAAATACTAAAATAGAGATCTATCGACAAAGACTACTCACTTCTGCCTAGCTTATGCTCTCTCTGGTTATTTCAGTTTCCGTTTTTAAAAGCGCTATATGTTGAGCCATCTCAGCTAGATTTGGCATGTGACATTTTTAGCGGCAATCATTGGTCGATTTTCTAGCGTTGCCATTCGTGGAGTTGTAATGAGGCTTTTTTTTTTGTCGCCGTGTAAGAGAATATAGATAACCGCCGTGTAAGAATCGCCGTGTATATATATATAGATAATTATAAAGAAAAAATATTTTTTTTACCTATAATTATTTTTGGATAAATGAACTTTATACTTGAGTGCTAAATATTTTTGTTTAATATTAATATCCAGAAAAATGATACGCAAAATAAAAAAATAACACAATAAATGAAATTAAACATTCAAATTTTTTTAAATGTTCTGACCAAAATATCGCTACTCTATTTTCCAGGTCGCTACTACCCTGTCCCCATATTTTGACGGTAAAGAATCCATTTTTTTTTTCTTTTAGAAAAATAATTATGCTTATTCAGAGAACGTATGTTGCTTCTACTTTCATTTGTCACTTCATGGAAGCATATTGCTAAAACCTGATCTCTCGATAAAAAGTTGTTAGGCTGTTCTTTTGCGCACTCTACTGAAATGAAAATGCTCAATTCTTTAAGTGAGATATGTTTGTATAATTCAAATATCCTCACGAAATTTTTTATTTTCAATACTAACAAGGAAAGTACGCTCCTGTATAATTTCTACTGAAACTGAACGAAGCTTAAAGAGCAAAACATGAGATGGCTACCACTGTGACGGTCTCCTCAAAGTTTTAGCTTATTTATAATTTTAAAAAATGACACGAATGGCATCCGACACAAAGTTGAGAGAAAGCCATGTCAATTTTAAATTCGCACTTCCCAAGGTTGCTTTAATTTTTTTTATTTAAAGTGTATTTCTTTAAAAAAAAATGCTCATTTAATTTAGTGACAATTTAAACATTTATTTATTAATTTTAATAGGAGTTCAGGCTGTATAGGAGTTTTTTTAAAAGATAATAATTATTATTAAGAAATTAAATTGCTTTTAAAGCTAAAATACTTATTGAAATAAAAAAAAAATTATTTCAGAAAACTAAGGAAATTCTTTCCACTTTAAGTTAAAAATATAAAGAAAACATGGAAAATATTATAGATTAATGAAAAGAGAAGAAGAAAAAATTTTAAAACAAAATATTTAAAAAAAAACTATTTTAAAAAATATATTAAAAAGCAGGAAAGCAAAAAAATGAAAAAATATAATTTCCTCATCAGCTCACATGATTATATCCGCAAAAAGTAGTGCTTTCTAATCATTACAGCTAAAGTAAAATATATGAATACAATAGTGTGAGGAGCACTTAAAAAAATATTTAAAAAGAAAAGAATAAAATATTAAATCAAATTGAATGTGGGTTCCATTTTATTTCAATTTTTTTTTCCTTTAGTTGCTCCTTACACTATTGTATTCATATATTTTGCTTTATTGATTAGAAGGTACTCCTTTTTGCAGATATAACCGTGTGAGCTAATGAAGAAATTATATATTTTAATTTTAAAAAAATGCTTTCCGGTTTT